CCGTCCGTCCGTCCATCCATCTTCCATCTTAGATTTATTCGTTGATTTTTTTCTTATTTTTCACATAAAGACTCTTCAAAACTTGGAGGAGACATTGACAGCTTTTTAAAAACAATTTCTTCAATGCTCGAGGAAGACGAAAGGAAAGAGAGACTAATAAAGGTATGTTAAGGTGCTGACACACGGTGCAACGTTGCACGCAACATTGCAAGCAACAAATTTGAATCGGGGTGACACATATTGCAACAAAATCACGCAAYATCGCTTGTGTCAGCCTGCTATGTAAGATGTTTGGTCAGCAGTTATAAATTTGGTGCAAGCTGATTGGCTGGAAATTTCAAAATGTTGCAGGTGATGTTGCAGCCATGTTCACATAATGAAATTTGTTGCGCGCAATGTTGCAAGAGTRCGTAGAGCGACTCAACTTCAGATTTGTTGCATGCAACGTTGCGTGCAACAAGTTTGGTGTAGACACACGCTGCAACAGCCCTGTTGTGTGCAATGTTGCACTGTATGTGAGCAGCTTAAGAATATTACGTTTGTTGAAGATTGATTTTTGAACTTTGATCAAGTGTTTCTGAATTTTTTAGGAGAAATTGGGCCCAAGACCTTCACCTCCTGAGCGAGACGAGATCAAGGAGGAGTTAGAAAAATGCAAGGAAACTTTCTCTAAAGCAGTAAGTTTATCCATTTCAATAGATTAGTTGTGCATGTCATCGTTACCTCTAGTTATTTKACGAATTCGCGACTACGCCCAATATTGAATATATTTTCTCCCAACTAGCCGTCAATTTTTCGTGGTATTGTCGTCTCAAAATCGTAATTAGTTTATATAATTCCAATAGACCATTTTCTCAAGGTTGCGCGCGTATCCAACTTGGCGGGCCACAAAACTAAAAAACGCAAATTCAGTAAAATTGAGAAGACAGTTTTATATTTAAAGAGGAGAATAATCGATTTTATGAATTCTTATCGGAAAAAAATCATAGCAATGCATGATAATACTCGTGTTCTGGTATCGTGGGCCGTCAAGTTCCTTAAACTTGGATGCGCACGCAACCTTGAGAAAACGGACCTTCACCGAGAACATATGAATATCTGAGCAACAGAGAACTCAAAACTGGGTTTTTAAGCATTAATTATTGGTGCTTTTTATTTATATGACAGAACCAAACCAATAATGAACTAGTTCGGGTGTACAATGCTCACAAGCAGAACCTTGAGCTCATTGCTGGACCTGAGGAACGGCTTCTGGCAGCTCTCCCATCACTCAACATCATTGACTGTAAGTACACATCTATGGTCTCTAGCAATTTCACAAAATCCTTTAGAAGACCAACTTTGTTGCTTCCCAGACAGGGATCGCCTTGACGCAAAAATCGTGCGTTTTTACGACATTTTGATGCTTTCCGCGAGTCACTCTACTTATGTTGACAAGGGTTTTCTACAATATTGATTGGCAACCACAACACAATGATGGGTTCCCAAATGTGTCCCAGGACTCACTTCACTTGTGTTGACAAGGGTTTTCTACAATATTGATTGGCACCCAGAACACAATGCTTGGGACCCAAATGTGTCCCACGACTCACTTTACTTGTGTTGACAAGGATTTTCTAAATATTGATTGACACCCACAACACAATGATGGGATCCCAAATGTGTCCCAGGACTCACTTCACTTGTGTTGACAAGGGCTTTCTAAATATTGATTGACACCCACAACACAATGATGGGATCCCAAATTTGCCCCAGGACTCACTTCACTCGTGTTGACAAGGGCTTCCTAAATATTGATTGACACCCACAACACAATGCTAGGGATTCCTAATTTGACCACTTCACCTGTCACTCATAGTTAAAAATACTGAAATGTCACATTTCTGTCACAGCACCAGTTGATGATGGAGCAGTACAGAGATTACGTGATTTAATCGTAAGTATTATGGGATGTGAATGAAGAAATAGAAAACGCGCGCGTGTGTTGTGTGCTGTCATAAAGCACGCGGGGGTTGGCAGAACACGAGAGAAGTGTTAGGAGAAGCACTCCGCTACGCGTCGTGCTTCTGGACACTTCTCAAGGCACACAGCACGGCAAGCAAGTTTTTTATTTCTTTTATACAATACAAATTACGATAACCGTTATTTTAGATAGGAATGACGCAATGGAAAGTGCGCGCGCGTGCAATATGCTCTCATAAAGCACGCGCTCCAAACCAATCAGAACGCGACATTCATAACAGTTATTTTATAATATAGTAAATTCTAAGGTCTGTTCACAACGGTTATATCCTTTCTAAAGGCCATCGTTATCATCACCACCACCGCCATTATCATCATCACCATCATCGTCATCATGATCATGATCATGATCATGATCATCACCATCCTCATTACGTACCATCATTATCACCTTCATCATCTAATATCACCACTACTACCCCCAAGTTCATTACCATCACGACCATCATCATCAACAGCATCACCACCACCATTAAAACTAAATAAATCTAAACCTGGGGCACTAGAAACTCCTAACTCCTAACCTTTTTTCACGGTTCTACAGGCAAAAGTTGAAGAGATGAAGAAACAAAGAAAAACCCTAGAAGAAAATCTAAGAAAGCAGGTACGGGATCCTCCTATTCTTGTTCGTGACTTAAGGGGGAAGAGGTATTCTTTGACTTGATTTATCTTGATTTTATAATAATGTACAGCTAAATGAAGATGACATCACAGGACTGTTAGTGACAAGAGAAGACGGCAATAAAAGGGTAAGTAGACTCCTTGAAATGTTCTTTGTTGCACAAAGTATATATTCTCTCTCTACACTTTGCAACAACGAAAATTTATTTATTTATTTATTTATGGACAACATTTAAGCAGAGATGCCAGGTTTGCGGGTTGAGTGGCTATATGTCCGAGTAATATTCGCTGTGCAACTTTAACCGAATAAAGCAATTTTATTATGACTATGAAAAGATCGGTGCCGCTGTTCCTTGTCGCGATCGTGATATTTTTTAGAATTTTTGATTTGCTGATATTTTTACTCGCGCGATGTGATTGGTCTGGCAGAGCCCTCACCTTGGCGTGGCCGTGTCCGCGTCGTGTTCATGCCGTATTCAGGGTATTTGATTGGATTCACCAAAATCCAAATTCTCGCGCCGTGTGATTGGCCATGCCGTGCCACGACCGCGTTCGTGCCTCGAACTTTTCACAGTCATACGGCAAACTTCGCTATTGGTGCGCGACATGACAGTGTTGCATGCTTCTGTTGCTACATTACCGCTCCGCAAGAGACTACGAGTCCTTCATGGTCTCTTGAGCTCCGTTAACAACCAAAAAAAGTTCAGTCAGAGCTCAGAGCGATGTAGTTCGCTAGATGAATTCGAATTCGCTAAATAAAAGAAGATGTGTTGTGTATGGAGATGTGAGGGTTACAGATCAAACTGATCTTCTCTCAACACAGGCGTTTTTCGACGAGCAGTTAAAGAAGCATGATGGTGCGTGCTCGCTTATTCAAGCAAATCTGGATGCACAGGACCGAATACTGAGGTAAAAATATGATACAAAGCTTAGTAAAATGTGGATAACATTTGGCACCTACATGGCTCAATTGATTGTATGTTGGCCTGGTGTGTGAGAGGTCGAGCTTGCGAGCCCAGGAGGTACCGACAGGAGGTAAGATATCTGTAGGTGCTGCCCCTTTGGTCTTAAAATGTGTTGATGCGCAAATGGTTGAAACTTGAAAGCCCTCTAAAATGTTAGAGTTCAAGAGTGTTGGGTTTTAACACAGACCTGACCAGCACTCGGGATCTTAAAGTATCTGAGCAGAAGATGCTATCTTTGCTCTGAAGGGGACTTGTGTCCTATTGTGCAGCACCAGCCTGCGGGCAAAATCTTGTAATGCGTAAATGATTAAACCTGCAAGCCTTCTCAATAAGGACGCTAAACCGTTGACCGTAACCCGCTGTATTTTGAATGCTATCAGTATTTGTACACCTGTTTCAAAAACGGAGATCTCGAATTTGAAATCTGAGAGTAACATGCTGCAAAGTTTAATATATTCACAGCCGAACAACGTAGTTTCCTTTAGATTGGAATATGAAGCATGAAAAATGAAGCATGAAAAATGAAGCATGAAAAATGAAGCATGAAAAATGTGATTTTTCGTATTTTAGCCAGAAAACTAAAAAGCACAAAAATTCTGTTTCAGATCGCCCATTTCAGTTCTCCGACCGACAAGGTTTTTTTGAAATAGGTGTATACTGACCGCGAACCTTCAAAAACAAGCCCTGTGCTTATATTTGCTTAATGTACCTGTACGTGACTTTTTTAACAGTRCCTTAACAGAAGCAAACGCCAAATATGCAAAGACTAGACAAGCAGTAAAGGAAAACTCGCAGAGGTACACTAGCTTGCTTTAATTTGAACTCGAAGCGTGTATTCTGCCGTTGAAGGTGGTCCTATCTCGGCGAGTTTAGAAGCCAGGAATATCGCAGCGCTAATGGTTCTGCGTCGTAACGTCATGACTYCTCGAAATGTGGCGGTTTTTAGCAGATTTTGATAGACAAAAACAAACAATCTAACAAGCATTCAAACATACAAACAAACTTCCAGAAGTTGTCGGCATCCAAGAAATAAGAATCAAGGGTGGTGTAGCGGTAGTACACTCGCCTCTCATCTCTGGGGTGTCGGGTTGGATGCTGAACTCGGCATCCCGTGATTAGAGTTTTTCCGGTTTTCCCGTTTTACATCCTCTGCAAAACCCAACAAGCTAAATTCTAGACTGATCTGTAAGTTAGCCATGCCCTGACTTAGATCAGCCCAGAGGTTGTTTCAGGGTTCTATCTGTAAGTTAGCCATGCCCTGACTTAGATCAGCCCAGAGGTTGTTTCAGGGTTCTATCTGTAAGTTAGCCGTGCCCTGACTTAGATCAGCCCAGAGGTTGTTTCAGGGTTCTATCTGTAAGTTAGCCGTGCCCTGACTTAGATCAGCCCAGAGGTTGTTTCAGTGTTCTATCTGTGAGTTAGAGATCACCCCAGAGTTTGTTTGCAGGGTTCTATCTGTGAGTTAGCCATGCCCTGACTTAGATCAGCCCAGAGGTTGTTTCAGGGTCCTATCTGTGAGTTAGGCGTGCCCTGACTTAGATCAGCCCAGAGGTTGTTTCAGGGTCCTATCTGTGAGTTAGCCATGCCCTGACTTAGATCATCCCAGAGGTCGTTTCATGGTTCGATCTGTGAGTTAGCCATGACCTGCCTTGAATCAGCCCAGCCTTGAATCAGCCCAGAGGTTGTTTCAGGGTTCAGTCTGTGAGTTAGCCGTGCCCTGACTTAGATCAACCCAGACGTTGCTTCAGGGTTTAGTCTGTGAGTTAGCCGTGCCCTGACTTAGATCAGCCCAAAAGTTTTTTTCAGTATGTCGATAACATTTGAAGGTTTTTTAGTTGTGTATCAACCAGTTTACAATATCTAGCTGTTTTTATCTTTTCGTAGGAGGGACGAAGTGGTTCAAGCTTTAATCTTGTCATACAACACTTTCTGTGAACTTCAGGGAAAATTGAGGTAGGCTGAAGCAAGAAAACCGATTCGTTACTTTCTGGGAATTGCTTGCTGTTTCCCCAGAAAAGTAGATTTCGTTATTCGTACCTTGTCAATTTCCTGGCGACGTTTCAGCACAAATATTCAAATGTAAAGTGGAGCGGAAAAACTCTTAACGGCTCCAAATTCTACTAAAACATCACCAAGAGGTTGAACAAGCTGATTTGATTCTTGGCTTAGACCTGTAGTCACATGTGAGTTAAATATCCCTTATCCTATGTTCCTGAGACCTTACGTTTCTTTGTCTTTTCCCTTCGTAGTCGCGGTATTCTGTTTTATCAGAATTTGTTCAAAACTGTCTCCAAACTCCAAGAAAAGAGTAAGAACTTCTTCGACGGACATGGCCAAGAGCTGGACAAGTTGATGGAAAAGATCAAAGCTGCATCAGGTACATTAGTGATACGTTCTGTTAACATATTACCCTTATTGGTTGAAGAGTTGGTTGAGCATTCTTGCCTTAGGAATTATCATCAGCGTCATCCTCATGAACGTCATTTATCATATAATTGTTATCGAGATCATCATGATAAGCATCATTGTCACCTATAGAGGCTTTGCAACATCGCCTGATGACAGCCATGACAGGGGGCAGGAACAATTGTATCTGGTCTAATCTGATTTACACGAGAAAGAATTCATTTTCYCATGAGAAAAATACTATATTGTTGTGCCTGCTTTTATGGCTGACATCAAATGATGATGCAAGGCCTCTTTCATTTTTATATTTTTATAAAATGCTGATCGTTTGTTTTTTAGTAGAACCTCCCAAGCCACCAAGCAGACCAGCAGCTGCAAAACCAGACCATCTAGTGCGACCCCAACCCTCACCTGTACCTTCTTCTATGCCTGGTCCAAGATTTCCTGGACCAATGCCTACCTCATTCGCTGACCAACACCTACCTGGTACCATGTATCAACAGCCAGGAGGATTTCGAGCACAACTCCCACCTGGTTCACCAGGGCAGATGGTACCTCAGGGTAATGCCAGAGGTGTTCCTGGACAAGGATATATGGTACCTGCTTATCAAATGCCAGGAGCAACTTCTAGTATGCAACCGTTTGTTCCAAGTCAAGGACAACATGTTCCTGGACAGGTTCCTGGTCACCCTCTTGATCCAGTCTTGCAAAAACAAAGAAGTGAGGATGGATCTCTTGGTGGAAGAATAGAAACCAGTCCTACAGCCCCACCTTCGTCAATTCAAGATGGAAGACATAGTTATCGTGCGCCTTCATCTTCACATCCTGTACCAAAGACACATATTCCGGCTGATCAAGTAATACATTCAACACCACGCATGTCATATCCATTTCCAGTCAGCCAGGAAGGAGCACAGATTCCTGGACAGTTTGCACCTTCTGTGGCTGGTCAAGGTGTGCCTCGGCCAAGTGGTCCCGAAATGCAGAATCAAAGGTTGCCTTTTCAGCCCCAAAACCAAATGCCACCAAGGTCACAACCACCACACCCTGCAAATATTAACCCCCCTTTGCATCAGTTTCAACAAATAAGACCAGAAAGCCCTGGTCAAGGACCACCACATCAAGCTCAACGACCTCAACGACCTCAACTACCAATAGGGCCTCAACAGCAACAACAAATGCATCCACGATTTCCTGGACAAGAGAATATCAGACCTCAGTTCTTGCCTCGAAATCAGCAGTTTCCTCCTCAGATGGGAGCTGCAGGTGATCCTCGGCAGCAGTTTCAACAACCACATTCTCCAGGTTCTTCGCAGCAGATGGTATTCCAAAGGCCACCTCAACCTTATGGTATGCCGCCAACGCCTACATCATCTCCCATGAGGCCACCGTTTTCACAGCCTATGCAGCCACAGCTATTACCAAGAGGACCCCCTTCTACATCTACCCAGCTGCCTTGTCCATTGCAGCCACAACCGATTAGCTCAACTAGCACCGCTTCATCAGCTGCTCAGCAGATGTTTAGAGCTCAATCCCCTTTGCAACCTGGGCAGGGTCCCCGTGCCATTCATCCGCAACAGCCGCCACAACAGGAACTATCACAACCAGACCAAAGGTTTCACCAACCACAGCAGCAGCAATTGTCACATCAACAGCAACAGCAATCGCCACATCAACAGCAACAGCAGTATCAGCAGCAGCAGCAAAAACAACAGCAGCAGCAGCAAAAACAACAGCAGCAGCAGAACTATCTTGGGCAACAGCGACCACAAAGTTTTCAGCAGCCGCAGCCACAGCAGCAAACACAGCAACAGCTATTTCCACGGCCCCAACAACCTCTCACTCCTTCCTCGATTAACCAACCACKGCCTTACTTCGGTCAAAATCAGAATCAACCATTTTCACAGCACCAACCCAACAGTCTGCAACAACAGCAACCATTTAGGACTGATCAGCAAGCACAAGGACAGCATAGGCCAGATCAACATTTTAGACCAAATCCACAATYGCAAGGACAGTTCAGGCCAGAACAACAGTCACAACATCCGTTTAGACCTGGTCAACCATCACAAGAGCAATATAGGCCAGATCAGTCACAACAACCTTTGAGATCAGATCAACCGCCACAGGGACAGTTTAGGTCAGAACAACAGTCTCAGCAACCATTTAGACCTGGTCAACCCTCCCAAGGAGAATATAGGCCAGATCAATCACAACAACCCATGAGACCCGA